AATGTAAACTGTGGACCATGATACTGACATGTCGGCGCAGGTCCGAGGACTGTAACAAGGGTACCACTGCGGGAGGAGAATGACCAACAGTGACGGCGGCTGTGCGGGAGGGGGAGGTAAAAAGCGAACTCTGTACTTTCTGCCCAACTTAGCTGTTAATGTAAAACTGCTCTAAAGTTTATTCTTTTCTTTTTTTTTTGGAAAGAAGTAAAAGCCACTTAAAGGACCAAATTTTCAGTGTGTAGTAAAAACAGAGTGTAAATGAAACTTTATCTTGAAAAATGAAACAATCATTAATGTTTTTACATGTAACATAATGTAGGTTATAAATGGAACTATGACATAAAAAGGAGACCAAGTAGAGAATTTTGGCTTAATTTTTCCAAAAACATTTATGATGGCACCATAAAGCACAACTCACTCCTTCTTTAACTTCTGCTGTAGAATTGTGCAAACACAGCTGAAGATTTTGCCAGTCTTTTTCAAGGGCCTCTCTGTCTTGATACTCAAACGATTCAATTTTGAAGAGCTTGTGGTACCATCTACCCCATCATTTCTTAACTAGTAGTTGGCTGTGGAGGGACATGTGTGAAACTTTCAGTCCTCAAACATTTCTTTCCTCAAACTTACAAGACATCATGCATCTTTTGCAAGATTGACAATTACATTTCACAACTGTGACCGCTTTACCAACCAGCACTGAGTGACAGTAACACTGATTTGATGGCAGAGGTACAGGCTGGTGTTCAGCTATGATGTCCGGACACAGAGAAAACTCTCAAGGGGTCAGCTCATTACGGACAATTTTCATGTTACGATAATTTTTATCTTTCCCTATACCACTCTAAGCTGGAGGGACTTGGGCAACCAGCAGTCTGATGACAAAGATCCCTGTCATCACATTAGAAGGACAGAAAAGAAGCCAATTTAAGCTAAAATCCATGGGCTAAAGTCAGGCGCTTTTCTACCACTGGAGATGTAAAGATGAACATGACCTCCCTCTAAAAATTCAATCTAACACAGTTGAAAGAATAAACAGACAATATGGTAAGTGCTGTGACACAAAGGTGTCTATGGAGAAAGTGCTATAGAAGAAACCTAAGCGAGGAAGAAATTAATTCTTCTGGCTCTCTAACTCAGGCCTTGAAGGAGGTATTTTAAAAGCAGACACCGGGCTGCCAAGTAGAGTGTAGGAGCAAAGAAAGGCCTGGAAACACAGAGCTCATTCAAGAAATACAAGGTCAAGTGTAACTAGCTCAGTTCGTTGTCGCTGGTTAGAGGAAAGGAGAAATTTATAAAACAATAACAAAAAACGAACCACTCTGAAAAAGTAAGGCTGGGGCCCAAGTGTAACACATGCAAACAAGTTTGGATTTTATTTTCCAGCTACAGAAGCCACAGTAAACTTACAAACAAAGGAGTCAGGATATTTGAGAAATCCCTGGCAATGGGGTACTGAACGAGGGTGAGGCAACCCACAGCACAAGCACCTCCTGTTACAGGGTCTGAGCCAGGACAGCAAGGCAGGAGCAGACGGGAGGTGTGGGCACAGAAGCAGGTCACCAGGGTTTAGCTGCCATCGAGTGTTGACAAAGGCTTCCAGAGAGAATGAGAAGACCGAGAAATAACCCTGGGGCACCAGCAGGCTGCTGTTAACATTAATAGTTCAAAGAAAAAAAAAAAAAGCAGGAGAAGCATATTCCAGGGTGGGGGAGGAACAAAAGGGTTAAACATGGGACAGACTGGCTGGGCTGAGCTGAGCAAGCGCTCATAAACCAAAGACGGACCAGCACCCAGCAGAAAGCGGGGGCTGGAGATAGGGGCCAGGGGCCGTGATCGCCAGAACCTAGAAAGGAGCTGGCTGTGGATGGCCACTGAATTTCAACCAGGTGTACCCCTCTCCCCACTCTAAACTGTCTCTCTCTTTTTTTAAACTAGGCATCACCCACTTTCTATACCCTAAAACACATCATTTCTCCTCGTTCAACTCATTCCATAACTACATTATTCCAGAAAACAGGGCTGACACCACACCATACAACATTATTCTAAAAGGTCCACCAAGCCAGTAGGAAAGCTGTGTCTTCCAAGATTACCGATTCTTGAAGAAAAGAAACAAAACATTTTTGATGAAACAAAAATTTGTATTTTAAGGCAAGACATGAAAAATTTTAACAAAATTCTTCTCTGCCCATTTCGGCCTCCTCCCTCCCCGCTGGAGTATTACATTGTTAACCAGCCCTCCCCAATGGCAGAAATACCCACTCAACCATAAAGATCAATTTCCTTCTTCTGGAGCCAACCACAAAACTCCTCTCTTGATCCTTCCTGTCTCAGTCCTCTCAGGGCTCACTCACCTTGCATGTGCAGACATCTTCGGTGAACTTTAGTGCCAATATATCATTTCCCTTAAAGTATATCCTACATAGATATATCACATTTACAATGCCAATACATCATTTCCCTTCAAGAGAGCAATTGGCCCAGAAGAGACTGGGCTGCACCTAACACAAGATCTTAGTTTAAATACTCACTCGTGACCTTGTTAATGTCACTAGCTATATTATTTGCATTCTGCCTATTTTATAAGATTACTGTCTCCTGAGTTACCAAATGTGTGACTAAGCCTCCAATAAAATTAATGGCCATTAGATAATTTGAAATGATTGACTAAGTATATAGCTCTGTAAAACCAATGATTATAGTAGTATAGCTCTACATGTGGGAAGAAGCAACAAGAGGGAGCTGTCTCTTAGAGCATAACAGACTACTAAGATACGTGGTCCAGAGGCTTTTGGTTACTATTCAGAGGGCCTAGTCCACTAACAGCACATCAAGGGGTCTATCAAGGAAATCCTCCCCTGACCTGGGAATGAGCATTGCGAGCACCATGGAATTACTCACCAAATGCCTCCTAAACCTTGGTCAAATTAATACCGAAAGGGAAAGGACTGTAGAGAATCTTGCCTACCATCCAGTTCTATAAGAATCAAATCATTAGCCACTATAGTTACTGACTCACATACATCCCAAAAGGAATTCAGGGCAAAGATTAGGATGAGGTACTTCTTGCTCTAGGAAACGACAGAATTGGCCCTCAGATTGTTTCCAGGAGAAATATTTCACAAAGCCGGATTCCTGCACCTTCCCACACTGATATCATTAACACAGATGTCTGTTCCTCCTGATTAGCAGCAACCTTCTGCTGAGACGTGTACTTGTTAGCAAGGTCGCTCTTGGCCACGTACACACAGCTCCCCACACCCCCAACAGTTCTTAGAGCTCTCAGAGACTGTCTCTGGGTTACGAGGCTCAGCCTCACTCGAATAAAACTTCCCATTTCTTTCCTAGATTGGCGACTGATTAGTTTTTTCATCAACATCCTCTAAGCTTTTAGACTGTCAGATTTATGCAAAACCCAAAAGGTTTCGTTAATGAGTGGCACTCCCCAGAAAGGGGTCACAAAAACACCTACAGCTGGATCCAGGGTGTCCAGATGTTTTCAGAGGCAACAGGAGAGAGCACTGGAGTAGGCAGTGGGTTCAAGAGGCTGGGCAGCCCGCTCCAAGGTCGGCTCAGAGCCACTGACCTCAGGCGAGCCACTGCCCCGTTACACCGTGCACTGCACAGCTGGGTGATCCGAGCATCACAGGGGGCAACCCTCTCACAGAGAATTCTCAGGCCTAACTAAATGTGATAGCGTGGAAGAAAGTTTCATTTGGGGAGAAAAAAACAAAAAAAACAAAACCCTGCCCTAACGTTTAATTAGGCAATTCTTGGGCTTTCCTTTCTCTTCAACCTCACTGCTCCTCAGCATATCTGTAAGAAAGGCCACTGGCACGAAAAGAAAGTGAAGGTCAGTTAATTCTGCTGCATTTGCAGCCCTGGTGAAACACTGGGCACAGAAAAGGAATCAAATGACGAAAACTGGATTTCAGAATTATTGGTGGCCGCCAGCCAGCCAGTTTCTAGACACTGCACCCAACAGGGTCAAACAGTTAAAAGAAAATTAGCAATACACAACCACACATTTTTAAATGTCTCAACAGAAGGAAGCCTACTAAACGCTAAGTGGTCATCTCAAAAGTGCAGTATTGACAAAAACCAAATTTATGTTTTCTGTCAAGCCTGAATATGTACGTACACACACACGCACACACACACACACACACACTTCTTGTAATTTAAACTTATGATTAAGTTTTCTAAGCTTAAAAAAGGGGGCAAAATCTTTTTACCTTCCTCTTAATAGTTATTTTTAGAGCCACATATCCTAATTTTGGCTTCTCACCCACCTACATGTCTGCAAGGTTAGTGAGGAATGAACAGAGGCCACCCCTTCACCGCATACAAATATCTCTTTCGGCAGGAAAGAGATCTAATCTTGGACTAGAGGAACTAAAAGCAAAAGTCACCAAGTGATTTTTTTTTTAAGCCGGCCACAATATCCCTCCTTCATTCAAGGCCCTAAACCCAAAGGGACTTGCTAGACAAACTTCGGGCTTGCTGGGTGGCTCAGACGGTAAAGAATCCGCCTGCCTATGCAGGAGACCCGGGTGCGATCCCCGGGTTGGGAAGATCCCCTGGAGTAGGGCAGGCAACCCACTCCAGTATCCTTGCCCGGAGAATCCCCATGGACGGAGGAGCCTGGTGGGCTACAGACCATGGAGTCACGAAGAGTCGGACACAACTGAGCGACCAACACTTTCACTTCTTTCGGACCCATTTTAAGCTTCTGTACAAAGTGTACTCTGTGACTGAACAGTATTGTTCTCCTTAGAAGAGACTGCTTTCCCACGACACCGGTATGTTTTCAACAGCCTGCCTTCAGGCCTGGGGTGGGAGGGTGGCCTTGAGGGGCCGCGGGGTCCCTGTTTCAGAAGGGCTAGAGAAAGGAGGCTTAGTCGGCCGCAGAGCCCCCCCGGTCGGGCCCGCGCCCCTTTCATCGGGCCCCGCCCCCGGCCGGCGTCACCTGACCGCCCGCCCCCGCCGCCACCGACCTGATGACACTGATGTGGAACTGGTCCTCGCGAAGGCCCCGCCAGGCGCCGGGCAGGAACTCCTTGCACCACAGATAGGCCCTGCGCCGCGTCCGGGGCTCGGGCTGGTCGTCCGCCGGTGGCGGCGGCGGCGGCGGCGGGGGCAGCGGCAGCGGCGGCGGCGGCGGCGGGGGCAGCGCGAGCGGCGGCTGCCGCCCGCCCAGCTGCTTGGGCTCGCGGTCACTGGCGGCGTCGCGCTGCTGCCCCACGCCGGGCGCCGGGGCCGCGCTGCCGCTGCCACAGCTCAGCAGCAGCCCGAGAGGCGAGGGCTCCGCCTCGCCCCCGTTGCAGAACTTGGTCTTCATGCTGGGCAGGCGGCCGAAGAGGCGCGGTCGGCCGCAGCGCGTGAAGGCGAGGCTCAGGGTCCGGCCGGACGCCCCCCTCACGGAGGCCGGGCGCCGAGGCCGCTCGCCCCCTTGCTGACGGGCAGGCCCGGGGCGCGGGCGGCTGGGGGCGCGGCGGACCGATGCGGGACGGCGGCGGCGGCGCGGAGGTAGGGAGTGGCGGGAGGCGGCAGCGCTCGGCTGGTCCCGTTCGCCGTGGCGCTCGCTCCTATACCGCCGCCGCACGAGGAGCGCCGGCCGCGTCACAGCCCGCCCTCGCGCTCGCCGCTGATTGGCCGCGGCTCGCCGGCCCCGGCGCATCACAACCGCCTCCGCCCTCTCCACGCCGCCTTCCCATAGGCTGTGGGAGCACACCGGCCCCGCCCCGCCTCCCTGCCAGCCCCGGGTGCTGCGGAGGAAGGAGGCGGGGCCTAGAGGGGGCGGGGTCTCAAGGGGGCGGAGCGTCGAGCCGGCTTCTGGGGTCGCAGGGATGGAGAAAGCTAGAAAACCCGCTTGGGGGCTCCCCGAGAGCGGTCGGGGCCGGGGGGCCCTTGAACTTCGGGAGAGCCAGACCTCGGCTTTGGGGCCTGAAACTTTGCTTGGACCCCCCTCGAAACCTGCAGGATAGCAGAGGCTGGGGCCTGGCAGGGGGCAGGGAGGCAGGAAGTGGGTACCCGGAGGCCGGTTTCTCTTTCCCCACGACCTTGGAGCGAGGCACCTCCTTCTGCAGCTCCGTACGTGTGTTTTTAGAACGTTTCCCGGCGCTGGCTCCGCTCTCCGCGAAGCATGGCCACGCCCCGTCCAAGCTGGAGCGTGAGAAATTATTGTCCCCAGGTCAGAAGCCGAGGCCCGAAAGGGGGAAGACAGGTTCAAGGCCGCGCCGCCGGCCCTACCCTCTGAAGCCTCAGTTTCCCTGTCCGTGGTGCTGAGGATGCCTGGGCCTATGGGCGCGGGGCGGGCGGGGCGGCGTCCCCGCGACCTCCCTGAACACTGGCCAAAGGTGAGTGTCGCGGGGGCTCCTGGCTTTGTGGAGGCCGCCCCGCCCGCCCCCGCACAGGAGGCAGTCCTGTGACTGTGACTGACGCACCTTTGCCCGCGGAGGTGGCGGGGTGGGGGGGCGTTCAGGGCCCCCCCCTCCATTTACCCCATGTGCTGCCCCGGCGCCCCAGTCCTTTCCAAAAGTAATTGGAGTACGGATACATTTAAAAATTACGGATCCTCTTTTCTCTGGTTGCTTAGGAAATTCAGCGCCTGGCATCCAGGAAATGGCTTATGTGTGCGGATTTCACAGTCTTCAGGAAGAAAACATCTCTTCTTAGCAGTGTGCGCTTGGCTGCACTTGCTCCAAGAGGGGAAAAGAAGCGGGGGGGGGGGGCTCATTGAACAAAGGATTATGATGAAAGGGGGCTTTTGTCAAGACAGCTGTGGAGGTGGGCCTGGACACTGAACTGGACGGAGCTGGAAGCCGACCCAGCACTTTGGGGAGAGGAGGAGCTGGATGTTGGGAAAGCTGAGAAGTCAAGGTCTCCAGTGAGGCCATTTAGATAAGAGCGCCGAGGACTTTGTCTAAAAACACCAGCCCTGAGCAGGTGGGGCTGTGTCTACGGTCTGCCCAGGTGACGGGCCTTTATTGCCCCTGTCTCGTGGCAGCGGCCTGGTAATCTCACAGGAATGCTTGAAACGCGGCAGGGAGGAAGGGGTGCAGGAAGTGAGGGCTGGGCCTCTGTCACTGGGGGGGACTCTGTCTGCTGGTGTGGGCTATTAGAACCCACAGCTTCCTGTGGGATCACAATTCGTTGTAGGAATAAGAAATTGCCTCGTTAAAGGTGTTGGAAAGTTATGTCCATTACTGCTTCCATTTAATGGATGTGGAGACTGTCCTGTGAAGGCTGAACGACTCAGGCGAGGACCCTTGGCTACGGTGAAGAAGGTGAAGAGTAAGGCAGGTGTCCTGGTTCCTTCATGTGAAAAGCATCATGCCTGTATGGATACAAAACTTCCCGCAATAAAGTCCTGGACTTGTTCTCAATGGCCCATCCTGGGCCCAGCCAGTCAGGGCCCACCCTTAGCCCTGGGGTTGTCAACTCCACGCAAAACCTCCATGGCAGAAACTGTGGTAGCTTGGCATGGTAATGCTAAAATATTAAATTTTACATTAGGGGGTGTTTGAGCTGGGCTTTGAAAGGTTGAGAAGACATCTCTCCTAGGCAGTCAGGAACCTCAGGCTGCTTTTACCTCTGCAATGAGTATAATAGGAGCAACTTTCCTGAATCACCTGTGATGATGTATCCAACACACAGTGGGTGTTTAGGAAAAATGTCAGACACGTCACTACCCAAAGGAGAAATCGAGAAAGATAAATATGCCCACAACCCTTGAGGTAGCACCCATCTCCAAGACTTCCTCCCTGAACAAGAACTCGTCAGCAGCAAAAAGCCCCGAATACGTGTACAAAACTGGCCATCACCACGTATTTCTCACTGAAGAAAGCTGGAAATAACCTAAATGTTCAGGAGTGAGGTTGGTAGGAAGGGTTCATTTTTCCCTTGAGTGCCTTCAGTATGCCAGAAATATTTGCTGAAAAGGTCTTCCCTGGTGACTCAGTGGTAAAGAATCCACCTGTCAATGCAGGAAACACAGGTTTGATCCCTGGTCTGGGAAGATCCTACATGCTGTGGAGCAACCAAGCCCATGCACCACAGTTACTGAACCTGTGCTCTAGAGCTCTAGTTGCTCCTAGCTCTGGGGCTCCAACTGTTGAGCCCACGTGCCGCAACTCCTGAAGCCTGCACGCCCTAGATCCTGTGGTCTGCAGCAAGAGAAGCTGCCGCAATGAGAAGCCCATGCACTGCAAAGAAGAGTAGCCCCCACTTGCTGCAACTAGAGAAAAGCCCACGCAGCAATGAAGATGCAGCACAGCCAAAAAGAAAAAGGTTTTAAAAAGAAATATTTGCTGAACGAATGAAATCCTGGCTCAGCACTTGCTAACTTTATGACTTTGGGTTGAGCCTCAGTTTCCTCAGCTGTAAAATGGGTTATCATTCGCAGGGCACAGGGTTGTTGTGAAGGGTGAACGGGTGGATGCACATTATGTGTGCAGCGAGCAGGACACCCCAACCCTCCTGTTGTTACGTGCAGTCGCTGCTTGGTGTGGCTTCTTATCCAGCAGCTGACATTGAGTAATGAATAATGCACATCCTTGTAGCAAACCAGCCTCGGAAGACAATACTGTGTAAGACGAGAATGCAGTGTACATTCTGATCACCAAAATGTGATCACTTGTGCACATGCGGACAAGGCTTGGAGAGAAATTTGCTATGGCAGATGCTGGTGCTGGGAGGAGTGTGTTCCAAGCATAAAGTCTTTTCTTCTAGGACATCAGAAAAAAATTTCTGAAAGCTCCTTGATGCTAAATTCTGTCTGAGAGCAGACACATGGTATGGGTGATGGGCCTTAGGATGGATCAGGGAACAGGGGAGTGGGGGTGATTGGGAGGTCCCTGCCCAGTCTCTGGCCTTCCTGCAGACTGGTTCCTGTGGTCTGGCCTGAGAGTCCTGGCAGGGAAGTCACTGGGCAGACCATAGGCAAGCTCCTTACACTTGTATCCAGCATCTTTGAACTTTCAAAGCCAGCAGTATGTTAAATATAATTAGCACTTCGTCTCTCAGGTGAGAAGGTTGAGATTCACCCCAGAGGTAAAACAATTTGTCCAAGGCAGGCAGCTAGTAAGGACAGGACCCAGGGACCCACCCAGGACTCCTCCCCCTGAATATAGGGGAACTCCATCCTTCTGCACCAAAAGCACCTTTGACCCAGAAAGTCCTAGGCACTTGGCACAGTGGGGATTTCCTAGAGGACTGCAGAAGGAGAGCCCTGGTTGCGCTCTGCTTACCACCCCCTCCCAGGCTGCACTCAACCCAGTCACCCCAGTTTCAGTTCTGAGCCTTAAAATATTAATGTGGGTGGAGAGAGGCCATTGGACTGAAATCCTAACTGCTTGAGATTGAACTACAGCCCCTGCCAACAGTGTGACATGGAACTGGGCCCTTCACTGAGTGCCTGGGTTTGACCGCAGCCCAGGATGCTCGGTTAGCCCGAGGCCTAGCAGGTCCAGCGGCTTCCAGAGGTCTCTGAGCCTTTCTGAGACACGATTCTACCTGACACCTAGCGCCAGTGCTTCAAGGCCAAGGCCACAGGCAGGACCGAGGGCCCAGAGAGTTTAATGGGAGCAGGGGACTTGTGCACCCGTGTGTCTGGTGGTTGGGCAGGCTCTCACCCCACCCCATATGCAGGTATCCTGAGTATAGCATTACAGGTAAAAAGCTGTCTAGAGCATTTACCTCCACCAGCTGTGTGACCTAGGATAAGTTACCTACCCCTTTAAACCAGATGGAAATGACTGTTCCTGCCCTACAAGTGTGTTCGTGGTGGGGAACGTCATGGAAGGAGCCGGGAAAGGGGTGGGTTCAAGGTCAGGGCCACACAAAGGGTAGCTGTGCGCTTGTACTGGTTGCTCACTGGATCCCCACCACCTGGTGTTATTAATAGTAAGGGCGGCCCTGCAGCAACTCATCCCATTAGCCAGGGGCTGGGGCAGGGGGACTGAGGTTCAGAGGAGGTGGGAGCAAAGAACTCTGTTAATAGCAATACAGAGCCTCCCAGAAGTCTGTCAGGGCCTGGGGCCTTTTCCATTCTTTGAGGCACCTAGCACTTTTCAAAAAATGAAGAAATACAGGCAAAACTTGTTTTATTGCTCCTCAAAAATACCACTTGTTTTTTTTTTTTTTCCAAATTTGTGGCAACCCTGTGTGGAGCAAGCCTATTGGTTGCATTTTTCCAACAGCATCTTCTCACTTCATGTCTGTGTCACAGTTTGGTAATTGGGGGAAACACTATTATTATTATGTTTGTTATTGTGATCTGAGATCTTGTTTTTGTGGACAAAAATTACTGCCCGCCATTTCGGTGAACGATGAATGCTT